AGTGAATTGTCACATAACTACCTCTGGCACTTAAGCGCGGAGCCTCTGGCGCTTAAGTGCGGCCTTCTCAGTTTCACCGGCGCTTAAGCACCGGAACCGGCTCGTAGGATCTGGCTCTTAGGCTCCAAAACTCTTTTGCACAATTTTCACATTTTTTCTTCAAATTGGATCATTTTTCACTCCTTTTAGTATTTTTCACCTTTTTACTTGTATCTGAAAGAAAAACACACAAATACCTTCCATTAAAGCGCAATAGCTCAAAAAATAGGTATAAAAATGTGTCTAAAAATACTATATAATTTTTGTGTATCAGAGAACTCATTTGGACAAATGATAGAATCTCAATCTTCTTATGAGACTTTAAATGCAATAAACAATCATTCTAATACTCTGTATGCCATTATTATAATCTAGGATGGAAGAATCATCCAAACTTTAGTTGGAGCAAAAATAACTCAAATACTGCAAATTCATAATGGGGAAACAATGCTGTGAACCCGTGGGAAGCTCTAATAATCAAGGAAATCAAGCTTATAAACCATATAACCTTATTACCCCCCATGATTTAATAATTTACAAAGTAAGGAGAAAAAGTTATCAAGAGAAAAGGTTATCAATGGAAGAATTGATATTACAAATGGGGAGTCAATTACAAAGTTAAGGAGCTGCAATTAGAAACATGAAAAATCAGCAATTAGCAATAGACCTCCAAGAAAATTGCCTAGTATTGTTGAAGTAAATCCTAAAGATCAGAACAAAGAGAAAATTAAGGCTATTCAACTTAGAAGTGGAAAATAATTAGAAAACAACGTTAAAAAAGAAATAGAAGTTGAAGTTGAAAAAGATGAGGTGGAAAATGAAAAATCTATTGAAGCCTGGTGAAGATTTTCATTGTGAGTTAGAAAGTCTTATTGAACCAATGAAAATCATTGTAGAAAGACCACCACCTCCATTTCCTCAAAGATTGAAGCAGAAAAATAAAGATAACAATTTTTCAAAATTTTTAGAGATATTGAGAAAATTAACGATAAATATTCCATTTGTTGAAGCCTTGGAACAAATGCCTAGCTATGTGAAGTTCATGAAGGATATACTTAATAAGAAAAGGAAGTTTGTAGATAATGAGACTGTTGCACTCAA